TAGCAGCAACTAGCACTAGCAGCAACGGCGCTATGCAGACGCCGCGAGGTGTAGATACACCCTGCTGCTGAAGGCCTATGGCTGCTGACAGCCTCCCCAGGGCCGCAGCTAATTTCTTTATAAGCTCGCTAGCTGGTTGCCCCGGTAGATAGACGTAGCTAGCTACACAGCTAGCTAGGCAGCTAGCTAGACAGCTAGCTAGGCAGCTAGCTAGACAGCTAGCTACGCAGCTAGCTAGACAGCTCCCTCTGCGCTTGTTGGCAATAAACACTCAGTGCGCTGATTTCCAAGTCGCAGCAGCAGCAGCAGCAGCAGCAGCTGCTGCTGCTGCCACTGCTGCTGCTGCTGCTGGGCGGGGCAGCCCCTGTCCAGGCCTGTTGGTGTGCTGCAGTTTGCTGTACGGCTAGCTAGCCAGCTAGATGGATAACACTTCAGCTAGACAGCTAGCTAGGTAGCTAGCTAGATATTACAGCTAGCTAGCTAGCTAGCTAGCTAGCTAGCTAGCTAGCTAGCGGGGTAGATATGAAGCAAAGTCCCTTCCTCTAGATAGCTGGGGAGCAGGGCGCTGCGTTGCAGTTGACTGTTGGCGTGAAGCCAGCTAGCTAGCTAACTGGCTAGCTAGCTAACCGGCTAGCTAGCTAGCTAGCTAGCTAGCTGGAAAGCTGACTGGCTAGCTCGCGGCGTAGCTCGCTGGCTAGCTAGCTCTCCAGCTAGCCGCGTGGTTGTCCAGCTCTCTAGCACCCTAGCTGACCAGCTAGCTAGCTAGCTAGATAGCTAGCTAGCTAGCTAGATAGCTAGCTAGCTAACTAGCTAGTCTTATAGCTAGTTCTCTAGCTATTTACCTAGCACTTTAGCTAGCTAGCTAGCTAGCTCTTTAGCTAGCTCTCTAGCTAGCTCTTTAGCTAGCTGTTTAGCTCGCTCACTCTTCAGCTAGCTAGCTAGCTAGCTATCCAGCTAGCTAGCTAGCTAGCTAGCTAGCCAGCTAGCTAGCTAGCTAGCTATGCGAATGGCATCCAGCCAGCAAAGAGCCTGGATAGGTTGTGGGGGTTTTGTGCTGTGTTAAGAAGACGCTCGACGTAGGCAGGCACCGAGAGGGGGGCCTCCCCTTCTCTATCAAAACCCTGCAGCTTGCTCTGCACCTGCAGCAAAACCCTAAACCCTAAACCCTAAACCCTAAACCCTAGACCACAGAAGATACACGAACAACCAGCAACCCGCTACTCTCCCAGTGAGGGATTAGGGTTTAGGGTTTAGGGTTTTAGGTTGTCGGTTCAAGCCTGACTCTTGCAGCCTTCAGCTTCACTAGCTCTAGGGTTTAGGGTTTAGGGTTTAGGGTTTAGGAATTAGGGTTTCGGGTTTAGGGTTTAGGGTTTACCTTAAGGATGGCTTTCATTGCCATTTTA